AAGAACCAGCCTGTCTCCTCTCCTGCAGCGTCATCCGCAGGGAGCACGGAGACCCCCTCATTGAGGAGCTCAACCCTGGTGATGCCTTAGAGCCTGAGGGCCGGGGCACAGGTAAGGGACATCAGCAGGCTCCCCCTGTCTCAGTGCTGTCTATACCCTGGAGGGAGGGTTGGAGAGACAGGGTTCCCCCTCTCCCTGCCACTCTGAGGGCTGAGATTCAAGGGTGTGGGTGAGAGCGGAGATGGGGGAGCCCTGGGGGGGGCTACCAGGCAGAAAGCCGAAGCGGGGACGGTCAATCCTCCCAACCCCAGGGCTGCTGGGGGGAAGGATGGGAATCTGTGGGTCTGTGGGCAGTGGCTTCTCTGGCCATGATTTGCTGGGTGGGAATGGAAAGGAGAAGAATTAGTCCCTTCTGCTCCCAGGCAGGGGGTCCTGCCATATGATCCCCCCCTTCTTGGCACTCAGCTTGGTGTCAGGCAAAGCACTGGATGAGGGGTCCCAAGACCTGGTTCAGCCACTGCCTCATTTTGTGGTCTTGGGAAAGCTGCTTCATCTTCTGGGTCTTGTTCTCCACATCCATAAAATGGGAATAATTATATCTGCCCTCCTTGCCTCTCTGGTTGGGACCAACAGGAGACCATGTGTATGCAAACACTTGATAAATAGACCAAAAAACTGTGCAAATATAAAGGGCGTATATTATTCAAATCATAATAAAAAGACTAGAAAGAAGTCCGCATAGTCTGAGTAATTTGCACCCACCCTCTGTGTGCAAAGCCCAGGGAAGGAAGAAAATCCTCTTCCATGAATTCCTGTCATGAGCCACTATTAGGAAGGAGAGGAGCCAGGCTGGAAGCCCTGCCCTCCTGCCCCGGCCCTGCTCTCCTTCCTGCCCCCCACACCCAGGCCTGCAGAAGCTGGCCCTGCCAGGGAGCCCTCTCCCCTGTGGGTCCCCTGGCTAATGACAGGAAATGAAATCTGCATTATTTCCAGGGGGCGTGGTGACTGACTTCGATGGAGATGGGATGCTGGACCTCATCTTGTCCCATGGAGAGTCCATGGCTCAGCCGCTGTCTGTCTTCCGGGGGAACCAGGTGTGCATAGACCTCAGGACCCAGACCCCAGCCTGCTGGCTCTCCTGGGTCCAGGGCAGA